ATGTAATATCTGTAGATAAAATGGCTACTAAAACTACAAATGACCCAGTGTTAAATAGAATAATGTCGAGGATAAAACAGAATCGCTGGGGAAATTGTTCAATGGCTGAAAGACCATTCAAAGAAATCAGACATAAAATGACTATAAAAAACGGGATAATATGTAATGGAGACTTGGTAGTTCCCCAGAAACACAGAGGAGACAGGTTATAAAAAAATGTATTAATGACATACATTTGTGGAGTGGCAGCTACGCAAAGAAGATTAAAATTGGGAGCGTGGTGGCGGGGTAATCAAGAGACGAGAAGACTACGTAAAAATATGCAAAAATGCACAGAACTCAGGAATTTTAAGCAAAGAAAATACATGTATGGCCCCAAGAAGTAGAACCATGGAGCAGAGTACACATGGACCATGCCTAGGTCAATGGGATAGGACTATTATTAATATTAGTAGACGCATATTCAGGTTGGCCTGAAGTGGTGAGAGAGTTCCTGATAAAAAAGTACCACTGTAAAACAAATATTAAGAGTAATATTTTTCGAGGAATGGGACACCGAAAACATTGGTGACTGATAATGCACCAGAATTTGTGGATGCTGATTTGCATGAATGGCTAAGAAAAATAGGATGCAGACCTTTACAAGACCCCTCCCTACCACCCTCAAAGTAAGGGGACAGCGGAAAGGATGGTCCAGACGGTAAAGAAGGGCATAAAAGCATGCTTGCAACAGAAGGAGGAAATTGATGCTTTCCTACCAAGACTGTTATTAAGTTACAGAACAATTCCACATGCAGGCAGGTCGGAAAGTCCATCTGCCTTAATGGGCAGACAATTAAGGTCCCTTTGACTATGTCATATGCCACAAATCAAAAAGATGTGGTACAAAAAGAAATAGGAATATGCAACCCGAGTCAGCCGAATTTATTATGCAGATAGGGGCATAATACTGCAATATTAAATAAAGAAAATGGGAACAATGTTCTAGCTCATGCTGACCAAATAAGATCCCAAGGAGAAGAATCGGATGAGGAAATGCCTTCAGAGATGCCCATTATTGATGTAACAGAAGAGTTAATGCAGAATGAAACTGCAGAGGAAGAAGTAGAATGGGACAAGTTAGAAGAGAAAGACCAGAGTATGCAAGAGGAACAATTCGATTATAGGGAAAGACATGATAGATCTAGATCTCCAAGGATAGGAGAGAGATAAAGGAAGATGTTCAGGAGGGCACAAGAAGAAGTATAAGAAGTATCATTTATAAGGCCCCTCCGTTACAGGGAGATGTAGTGAGATGCAAATTAGTATAATTTGCATATGAGCAGGTAGCTCATATGATAAATGGACACCAACAAGAACAGAGGTTGAACGCTTACTTAGCAAGATACACGACACAACAACTTGTGTATGTTTAGATTTCATTATCTTTCCTAAAGATAAAGAATTTATTCCGATGTTTGTATTCAAGAAATCAGTAGAGATCAAAAGATTATTGTTTAAGGTTGATGGACATGCATGTCTTAATTAGTTTTTTTTTTTATTTTTTACGAATTGGTCAAACCAAAACAAAACATTTTTTTCAATCGTTATGAGTCTCCCAATTGAATAGAATTTTATTATAAATAATTGTCTTGTAAATGGAATTTTTAAAGCATTCTGAATGTTAAAAATAAAGAAAAAAGTGTGCAAGAGAATAAGAAACACTACCTGCCAAAAAAAAAAAAAAAAAAAAAAAAAAAAGTTTTTGTTTTATCGGCTGAAAAATATAGGAAATCCGCTCCCATATTTAAAGGAACCCACACACACAAAACAACCCGATGTGAGTTGTCCCCCTTTCATTTTCACGATGTCTCTTAATCGTGTTTTCAAATTGATTTTGTGCAAAAACAATTATATTTTTCCCATTTTTGGCGCTGTTAGAACCACCACAAGGTAATTTTATGTAGTCCTGTGAAGTTTTGTTGAAATCGGTTGAAAAATGTAGGAAATCCGATCCAATATATAAACGTTACAGACACACACACAATCTGTTTTTATAATAAGTATATATATATATATATATATATATATATATATATATATATATATATATATATATATATATAAAAAATGCACTAATACTATAAATATAAAACACCATTTACAAAAAAATTCTCCAGTGTAATCAAACAGCTTAATTATCACCAAAAATAATTTAATACAATTTCCCAACATGGTAAAGACTAATAGTTTTGTATTTTTGTCTTACCAGTTCTTTTAAAATTCTAAAGGAATCTAAATATTTTTAATGGTACACACAATGTCCAAGGTTTTACAATGTTAGAAATATCAATTTTCTTTTAAGAAAATAAAAAGCTCCAACAAAATAACTTAAAGAATAAAATTTATAATTATTGAATGCTTATACAAATGTTTTATCTTTACAAGATAAAGTGCTTTAAATTGTGCAATTTTTTTTATTACAATGACTTGGTTATCTGAGTTTAGACTGATATAAGTATCAGAATTTAGAAAACAAATTTCAAATCATACAGAATGCTAAAATAGTTAATAATTATAAGAAAAAAAGTATGAACAGAAATATTAATTCTTCTTTAGCACATACTTTATGGTGTGTTGTAGTACTTGACATTCTGTTCCTTTTAACAGGACAGAAAATCAACAATGTGTCAATAGCTTTATATAAGAATACTTACATCATAAGGATTTATTTATGTATTATTTATATGGAGATACATTAGTTTAAATGCCCCGACAAAAGACTGCATGTGTGTGCAATCCCAGTAGAGTTTCACAGGCCAAGTGAGATTTTTCCTGCTGAAATATCACCATTAACCTAAGCAACCAAGATGCATGTATGAACAGATTCTTGTCAAATTTATTGTGTTGATTCGTAGCTATTATAATACCACCTCCTTTTATCTTGTGTGTGTGTGTGTATATATATATATATATATATATATATATATATATATATATATATATATATACACACACACACACTGATGGATTTCTATCTTTAAACTCGGACACTTAAAGCAAAGAACATAAAACAATTTTTTTAAAAGTTACTTAATTTCTTTCTTTTCTAGTCCCGAGCAATGACAGCTTGGGAAAATATATGATCTCATTATTTTAAATAAACACACAAATACATGCACACACAATTCACTTTTTCACCTTTGATCTGATGAAGCCTAAAATACATTATCAGATATTTTTTAAAAACCTTATACTTTCATGAATGTTTTTCCAATTATCATTAATGTATAACTCTGGGTCATTTACCCAAATTTATAACACATTATATATATATATATATATATATATATATATATATATATATATATATATATATTCACTGTTCGATAAAAGTGACTCACCTGATTTTTTTTTTACTAAATGTTCTCTTCTCCGATAAAATGAAAGTTGAGCTAAATTCAAAGGATAAGCGATCTAAAATCCAAAGAAGCTTTGAAAGCTCTTTGAATTTAGCAGTAAAAGTACTGTCAAGCATCTGTTCAGTATAATGTTCTGGGGATGCTTTTCATTTAATGGAACTGGTTTCTTAAAACCTATTGAAAAGACCCTCAGGAGCCAGCAGCACAAGAGAATTTTAAAGTCTTGTCTGCTCCCTTCTGCCGAAAGGGTGCAAATCGACCCCACCAAGCTCATTTTTATGCAGGATAATGCTCCCTGTCACAAATCAAAATTGATGAAGGAATACTTTGATGAGAAGCAGGTGAGTGTTATGACATGGCTGCCCCAATCTCCTGACGTCAACACCATAGAAAACTTATGGAGCATGTTGCTCAACTGGTTTCTCAACATAATAATAATTAATTATAATGCTCCCTAAGTTTTCTATGGAGTTGAGGTCAGAAGATTTCTAAGTTAACATAAGATGCATGCATACATGTGAGTAACTTTGATCTTATTGCTTTAACTTTCTTCCTCCAGACAGAATGAACCTTTTTCAAGATTTAATGAAAAAGATTTGGCAAAGAACAAATGTTTATTTATAGAAAAAGATTTGTTTCAACTCAAGTTTGTAGAGAAAAAAGTATTGGGCAGCAGGGTTCTACTAAGCACAATTATGGAGTAAGACATTTAGCAAATTATATTACTAGAAAAGTGTAAATTTGGTGTGTTAAAACATTGATTTGTAGGAGGCCACTCAAAAGAGGCCTTTACTTTGTATTTCAAATTTTAGTGTTTCATATGCCAAAGCTAAATAAAGAAAACAATGATGTTTTTGTGAAGAGTTTTATATTTGCTTGATCTTCTGTGCAAGAGGGTAGTTGCCAACCCTGTATATTATATTTTACACAAACAAATGATAGGATAAAGAACAAATAGAAAACATTTATAAATTTAACAGGTTTTGCTTTCATTTAAGCTTTATCAGAAAATGAAATATGGAAGAGAAAAGAAAATTTTGGTATTTTTATTTTTTTTATATTGTTTTTCTTACATGTATTTATCCTGTAAAGCAGTGTGTGTGTGTGTGTGTGTGTGTTTATCATAATTCTAGTTTGTCTATGTGGGATTGTTGTGTGTGTTTGAGTGTCTAATAGGCATTTTTCCATATTTTGATTTGGGGATGTTTTGTGTGAAAGTGAAAGAATTTAAGTTACACCTGTTGTGATTGTAGGTAGACACAAGTGGTGTAATTTAAATTCTTTCAAATTCCACATAGACAAACTAGATTTATGATACACACACAAATTATACACACAAACAATGATTAACAGGAAAGATACACATGAGGTCTGCTTAATCAATGAAAAGCAAACACAAAAATAAAAATACCATAATTTTTTCTCCTCTATATTTCATTTTCTGATGAAGCTTAAATAAAAACAAATCTATGTTTCTTATTTTATATTGTTTACTTAAGACTTTTCATGAACTTGTACATAGTGTTATATGGTTTCCTTAAGGAGGAATAAGAAAAGCCTTGTAAAGTGGAAATGTAATAAAATTAAATCAAGACTTACCTAAATTTGGAAGCAATTTCATAAACACGTTTTTCTAATGCTGCTACTTCCTGCAACAAAATCCCAAGACAGTTTTTGTGATGGAAGAGAAAAAATATTCTCAGAAAAATAGAGAAACATATTAGCTAAATTAAAAGCTCAGAAAACATTAATCTTTTTTAAATAACAGAATTTTGTTTTAGCTCATACTATTTAATAACAGAAATAAGTAATGATATCACATTGACCAGATTTTAATATTACATTTCATTAACAGATCCAATTTTATCACATTGTTAAAGGCAATGCACATGTATGTCTTATATTTGTTTGGTCTTACTCCTATCCTTCATAGAAGGCAATTACATAATTGAGGTTATTTATATCCCATTCTTATGTTTGTAGAGAGTTACTTCTGCAAATTATTGAGACTAACTCTACAAACATAACCATTCCTGTTTTAAATAAAACAATAGAATCCAACATCTGTTAATTAGTATATGCATACAACAGGTTATTGTTAAATTTAATTTTATAATGTAGAAATAAGACAGCAATAAATTTCACAAAAAATATCTCCAAGATTAAATTTAAACATCATGGTAAACACCCACATCCAATGATGACCTGTGTGGCTCAATTTATAAACATTCATAAAAAAAATCAGTTGGTTTTAAAACAAAACAAAAAAAAAACCCCCAAAAAGAAGCCTATATATATATATATATATATATAATTTTTTTTTTTTTTTTTTTACATACATACCTCTTTTGTTCCTTCAAATAACAATGTTGCTACACATAATTTTTCAGGATCAAATCCTTTCAATTTTGTAATGTAAAGTTTTTTGATACCATCTAGGAAACTTGCAAATATTGAACTCGATTCTGGTTTTAGAGCATGTCCTAAAATTAAATCAAATTAAGAATATGACCAAAATAATTCTGGAAAGATTAAAAATCATTTAAATCTTTTTCTGGTTAAAAATGAATATTCACATTTTTAATATTTGTTACTGAATTCAAAGCAGATATATTTTTCTGTATGCAACATGCATAAAGAGATAAAAGTTGTGGCAAACAGTTAAGCTACAACCCCCACCCCACCAAAAAAAAAAAGAAAAAGAAAAAAGCATTAATCATGTCTGTATTGTGAGATGCATAAGTCGATACACATGAAGAATAATACGGTACTAACAGTTGAGAACACAGTCTACTGGAATAACAGTTAATTGTTAACTTCACATCTGTTCAACTTTGGTATTTACCTCCCCACAAAGTGGGATGTGGCACAAGGCCGGTTTTTAATGTGGAATATTCCAAGCCCATATGCTTGGACAAAAATTCCCCATAGACCCTGCATACATGCTATCAGGTGGTTGTTTACCTCACCAGATGAGACTCTGCTCTTTGGCATAGCCTTTTTTTGTTTCCTCTCTGCTTGGAGGCAAAGATTTCAAACAATTTTATATCTTTAAACTCTTTTGCTGTGAATTGCATGTCATTGTCCGACACAATCATATCTGGAACATTGAATCTTGCTAAAAAGTTCATGCAAAAATTTTATTATACCATTACATGTAGGATTTTTAAATGTTATCACCTCTGGCCATTTCAAAAAACTGTCAACCACTATCAAATAGTATTGCCCCTTTACTGGACCTGCAAAATCAATATGGAGCCTTTGGCCAATAGTTAAATTTCTTCAGTAGTGCCTTTTCTGCCATCGTACAACTTCTGCATGTTGTTACATATTTCTCTTTATCTTTATCCATATTCAATCAAAAAACATAGCTACTCATTAAAGCTTTCATCTTCAATATACCAGGGTGTCCAGCATGAAAATCTTTAAGTATTCTTTTTTTACTGCTTCTGGTATTACCACACATTTACTGTACATTAATATTCCATCACAGAAAAAAAAATTTTCACCATCATTCTTTTTTTAATGTTTGCTACTAATTTGCTTCTTTTCCTCTGTGATATACTTATCTATTTTTTCTCTGATCCTGATTTCCTCAAGTGTCACAAGTAATTCCTGTATGATATTGCATAGCACACATTTATTTTCATTTCTATTCTTAACACTGTTATCATGGTTTCCTCTAATGGATCACATAGTTTGGGAATTAGCCTGGATAATCCATCAGCATGACTCAACCTCTTTGATGGAAGGAACTCCATCTTAAAATTATAATTTAATAATATTGTTCCCATCTAAGTTGATTTGTTATATGTATAGGAAGTTTTGGAATCAAAAATAGACAATAACAGTTGATGGTCCGTTTGAAACATAAAAATCCTTTTATGTATGAATCTATGGAATCTTTTTACTGCAAAAATTATCACTAAAGCCTATTTTTTCAATTTGGCTGTATCCATTTTCAGCTGGCAATAAGGTCCTCGATGCATGTGCAATAGCTTTTATCTTGGCCGTTGCTTTCTTTGTGTAATATTACAGCTCCTAAACCCAATTTACTAGCATCACTTACAACAATAATATTCTTATTTGGATCATAATGTGCCAAACTTGAGTCTGATGTTAATATTGTTTTAATTTCTTCAAAAGCACTCTGACATTTCATATTCTAGTACCGTTTGAAATCTTTTTTTAACAATTTGTTTAGTGAGGCTTTCAATAGGTGCATATTTGGGATAAAATTACTGTAGTAATTTGCTAAACCCAAGAATGCTGTTTGCTGGGATTGGCATATTTCTTATTGCCCTCAATCTCGATGGGTCTAGTTTTCTGCCTTTCACATTTATAACTTGACCCAAATACTTAATGTTAGATAAGGTAGGCGATTGTCAAGTCCACGTTATTCAATAACATTATTCATGGTTTGTTGGAAAATGCCTGGTGCGACTTTTATCCTGAATGGCTTTTGAATCTATACAGAACCTTATGTGTATTTATAGTTAAATTCTTTGCATATTCTTTATCAACAGGAATCTGGAAGTATGCTTCAGACAAATCCAGTTTTGAGAACACTCTGCCACCATTCAATTTTGCAAATATGTCTTCCAGATTCAACAGAAGGTAATTGTAATTTTCCAAACAATCTAAAAATCTGTGCAGACTCTAATTTTATTATTTTTCTTTTTCACTTAAATGGTAGGGCTTGCCCACTCACTGTAATCAGTTTTGCTTAACATGCCAATTTTTTCTAAACGGTCAACTCCTTACTAATGGAAGCATTTTCCAACAAACCATGAATAATGTTATTGAATAACGTGGACTTGACTTGTACTTTTTTTTTGGTCTAAATATAGGCATCATATTTTTTGGTTTGAATGTCACTCTGGTGCACCTGTCAAGACCATCAGAAAAAATTTCAGGAAATTTTATTGTTAATTCATTTTTTAATGTTTCCACTATGTTTGAATTAACACCGACACCAAAGCAGAATGAATTAATTGGCTAGTTGATAAGATTGAATGACTCAATCCATACCAAACAGGTTCAGTGTTTGTTTCATAATGAATCATTTTAATTTTATAGTTTTATCCATAAATCTCACATTTGTGTAAAATCTCCTTCAAAATTTAGTTTATTTCCTGTAATACTATGAGCAATTCTTTATGTGATCAATAAAGTTGGTCTGCAAATTTTTTTCCAAATTTTTTCATTTATCAGAATCAGATCTGAACCAGTATCCAATTGGAATTTGACATTTTTCTTGTTCATCTGCACATTCACAAACTTTCTTCTCATTTTTATTCGTTTGTTTTTCATTGAATTTGAAGTTAACTGTCTTTTCCATTTTTGATCCCTTTTTACTTTTGGGTTTTCTGCAATGCCTAGGCCTGTGTCCTTTTTTTGCCACAATTAAAGCATCCTTTTTTTTTCTAAATAGACATGCCTTGTAATAATGAATCTGTCCACAGACATAACAAGGATTTATTCTCTGGGCAACATTTTCTTTATGTTGTCTTTGCTTAACTGTCTGAATATTTGACACATCACATTCCTCTATTTTTGCCATGTTGTGTTTAAGATTTTCTATTCGTTTACATTCTTCTGTGACCATTTACAGACTGATTTTTGAATTTTGTTCTAATTTAAACAAAATATTTGTTCTGATCTCAGCATCCTCTGGAATAAAAATCAAGCACTTAAACATGTCGAGAGTAAATTCTTTCAGTTTAAACTTCTCACACTCTCTATTGACAATCCCAGCAAAAGTTCACTTTTCTTTTTAAAGTTTAAACATTGCCATCTTAGTTGAAAAGAGAATTTTTCTCCCCGAGGTTTTTTGGAAGTATGTAATTCGTGTACTTTTCATGTTCACTTGGACCAAATTTTTCAGGTAACAGATGTATTTTCTTTTCATCCGACCATGTAACACAATCTTTTTGAAAGGCCTCTTCATAAGGCGACAATATGCTGCAAAAGTTACCTCCTCCTTAAGACTGTACTTGAATTTACCAATTGAATTTATTATTGAATCCTGAAAAAAAGAACTTGCATTACCTTGCTCTTTTTTCCTTTTTTAACCCTAACAATTCAAACATTTTTTAGAACCATTTGTTTTGTTTCCCAGAGTGTTACTTGTCCAAACGTCGTTTTTCATAGTCCAAATGTCGTTGTTCCTACAAATGTTCACTGGATTCTCATGAATTCCAACATTGCTTCTTTAAAATCCTCCATGTTTCTTTATAGAGACAAAATTTAACTGAGCAGGCAGACAGAATTCTTCCATGCTTTTACATGTCTGATTTGGAATTAATTCGAGGTTGAGTAGTTGCCAAATCATTGTTTGGTATATTACTATAAATTTTTACACTCAAATCCTCAGTCCGTGTTGATATTAATATTCAAATTTTTTGTTGTGAAATGTTGGTATCCACTGTAAATTTTGAATACCTCATTGCTAAATGTTGTATCATGTAAGTCAATACACATATAAAAAGTAGTAGTAATTTATTCTGAAAAATAATATGGTACGAAGAGTCAAGAACAAAGTCTACTGGAATAAGTTAATCATGAACTTCACCTCAGTTGAACAGAACTGAGGTGAAGTTCATGATTAACTGTTATTCCAGTAGACTTCATTTCCTCAGTAAGAGAGCATGCTATTTATCTTTTTAGATCAGTCCATATTGTGGGGGTGCCCTGGTACTTTACACACACTGATATCTCATTTTAACAGATATAATTGCCAAAATTACACAAAAATATCTTGAAATACTAAACAGTAAACAGAGACAGAGAGGTCGACAAGAAGTTCTGTTCATCTTCCACTTTCTCAGTTAGAGAGCGTGCTATTTAATTTTTTAGATCAGTTCGTCTTGTGGGGTGCTCCGGTACTCCATAACAAGTATCTTGTTAAAGAAACTAGAGTTTCTAAGATACTAAAGATAAACCATATACATAAAGTTAAATGGACTTACCAAATTGAAATTGTTCATTATCCATTAGACGAATTGATGCCGGTGCACATCGCTTGAACAAAAGAGAAAAAGGGTTTAAACTAGCAACAGATTAAGAAATGCCATTCAAATGATTTTATTGTATAAAAAGAAAAATAAATTTAAGAAAGAAACATTTGCTTGCAATTGTGAGTCAGGCATACAATCATATTTAGTCAGTCATCTAACGTCTTTCATAATATTTGTAAATTTACAGGGTAATACAATTTGCATTCTTAAAACTGGCAAAGAATTTTCATGCTAATAACTTTAAAATTACAAGATATCTTATGCAATTTAAATTATATAACCAGGAAATCAATTTTGAAACATGAAAATAAAATATTTCTAAAAAACAATCAGATACAAAGAAACTTTAGATAAAGGCAATGTTTTCACATGAATAGTAATAATAGTTTGACTCCTGCAACAGTACACTATTTACATTATTCGTACTATTGTCCTCATTTTTGTCGCCATATTTATTACAAGGTCTTGGCTGACCAAGCATAGAAATGAATATGGGAACCACTAATAAGGAGTGACAGAGAAAAGTGATAACAACAACAAAAATTGCAATATGAGCTCTGGTAAAAATATGAAATGATAACAGCAAAAAAATTGAAAGATGAGCACTGGTAAAAAATGGAGGGTGAAGAAATTAGGTTTATAATACTCAGAAATTCATTCACAGATGTCCTCAAGGGCACATGGCACAGTGGATAAAGGTGTTAGTTAGATCCAGTGACAGGACCTGGTTAAGGCGGTGGAGAACTTGGAGAGGTGGCACATGGAACTAGAACAGTCTACCCCAGTGAGCAAAATAAAGGGTTCAGTTCAACATTCCAACCACCTGAAGAAGGCTGGAGCGTACAATGGCCGAAACGTTGTGATAAATATGGCAACAAAGATTCAGACAATAGTCTGAATAATGTAAATAGTGTACATAATACCTCATCTCAGAAATATAAACAGATCCTGCAACAGTTTATGACATTAGTTTTTGAAGGTTATTAGTGTAGAAAGGAAACTAAGAGATTAAACTTGTGATTTATAAAGATTAATAATCTTGCAACTTATAAACCTTGTGCTCAGCCTGCATTCTATCAATTTGTCATTGCAAAGAAATGTTCAATTTCTACACAAAAAATATCAAATAAAGTGAGAAAACTAAAAAAAGGCAATAGAATGAATATTGATAGCTTCCATCAGCAGGTATAATTTTTATAGGAAAAATTTCCCTTTTATTTCGAGGTGGATTGTTATTGATTGAATCAGAAAAGGAGTTGGGGGGGGGGTTAGTCAGTTGATTTGATATCAACCTTCAGTAACTTTTTTGGAAATAGTCTTAATTTCTATACAACATCTCTATTTAGCTTTCATAATATAAAGAACTATAAAGAACTTCAAATGATTCAAGAAAAAATACTGAATACCTTCAACTTTAATTACATCAATGCATTTATTTTATAAATTTGTAAAGTTTCAACAACATCTTTCAGACTGTTCTTCAGTGAACTTACTCTCTCATATAAACACATGGCTAGGAATATTGTCAATACCTTGTTTTATCTTAAGACATAAGGAAATAATGAGTCTGTACCTGTTTAGCTACTTCTCTAAGGCAATGGACACCATCTTCAAAGGTGGGAAATACAACTGAACCATATTTCTTACACTGTGGCAATGGTCTTATTTTAAGTGTGGCTTCAGTAACAATTCCTAGTGTTCCTAAAGATAAATAAACATTTCAAAATCAATTCAACATCATAAGATGCTGGTTAAACGTTCCAGATATAATACTGGGAATTTGCCTCTTGTCTTGTTGCTTTTTTAAGCAACAACACAAGTGACAAATTCTCAGTATTATATTTTAAAAGAGCAGAAATGTCAAAACAAGGATAAACAATTGAGATCAAACATTTTTTCAATTTTTATCTTGACATATTTTTGTCAAATAACCAACTATAAAGGTTGAATAGGTATACAAAAAATCTAAAAACAAACAAAATAAAAAAACAATTTCATTATGATTTGCTTACATTTCTTAGGTTTAAGAATTAACAAGTTTGTATTAGTAAGAACCAGCTACCAAATTGAACTCTACCAATGTCATAGAAAACATGTGCAGAAATTACCATAATAAAATCTCAAATAGTGAGTATATCAGATCAGTAAAAAATATCCAGAATAAAAATTAATAAAATTTGTACAAAATAATCAAAGGATAGTTTAAAAAAAAAAAAAAAAAAAAAAAAAAAGAAGGACTGATTGACTCATTGTTGGGATTGAAAAGGCAAAAGACAACGACATAAAAATGACAAAGAATTTTCATGTAAAGTTGCAAGCTAGACACATGAAAGCTCTGTTAAAGTTTGAAAATGTTAACTGACAAAGACAAAAGCTTTTAGAAAAGTAAAGTGTGCTCTGATCAAACAAAAGTAAATTTGAACAGTTTGTCCACAACCTCAAAATAAATGTTCTGAAAACCTCAACAATTATCCCAGCTGAAGAGTTACCTTTCCCTACAGTAAAGCATAGAGGTGGCACCATATTTCATACTTAGTCTCTTCATCAGGTGAAATAAATCATGAAAAAAATTAGGAAAAAAAAATCTGAAGTCTTAAGCAACATATTTAAAATTGGATTTTTCAACAAAATAGCCCAAAACACAATTGAATTATTAGTGTGAATCAAGCTGGATTAAGGAAAAAATTATAATTTTAGAGAGAAAATATGTGGGAAGAGTTGATATTACAAAGTCAACTTTAGAAAATCAACAAATCTCACCAATTTAACAAAATTTAGTATATTTCAAAGAGTATATCAAATTGAAAAGAAATCTATTTCAATGATTGAATTATATGTAAAGTTTTGAATCCAGCTATAATATTGACAGGCATACACCTTTAAAAGGAACACAGCATTAAACAAAGCCTGAAATTCTTCAATCATTTTACTAAGATATTAGGTTTTAATATTACTCCATGTGCACAAAAAAGTGCACAAAAACATAAAATTTACAAAAATTTTGCCCTCATAAAAATATAAATTTAAAAAAGCTCTTTTCAGAATGTAACAATTATACAAGCAATCAATAGAAAGCCATTGTTAGACTAACAGAATTTTTTTGTTGGCATTTTACCTATATTTTTATATAAAAGTGAATTTATATATCATTTCGCAGAATGTCTGAGTTTTTTCCTCTCCATTTCTCTTTTAAAATTTTGAAACATTTTTCTCCCCATTTTTCTTTTAAAATTTTGAAACATAGCACTGTACTTTTGAAACAAAAATATTTGAAAAAAAAAAAAAAAAAAAAAATTGGCAAACTATTTTGTTATTTTATAAGAGTTGAAAAAAAAAAAAAAAAGAAGAAGCAAATGTTCAAACTATCCTGTTATTCAAAGTCACATCCAGACAAAATCCACTTACATGAAATAGTTACCAAAACCAATGTTCACAACTTTTCCCCAAAATTTGGTGAGTGTTTATTTACTTTTGACATATCTCTGTATAAATGCTTGATTACTTTTAAAATATTAGCAGAGAGATACAAAATCCACTACTTCAAGACTAACCATAGAGCCTGCAATAGTTTAAAATTAAGTAAAATATAATATATTCTCTTTCATAAAAACGAAAGAAGGCAATTATTAAGTTTGTGTGAATTAAAAAATTCTCAAATCATTCAACAAAAATAGATTTAAAAGAATAATTTATATACGAGTCACAGGGTGGATGCCAAAGAAATCATCAAAATCAATAGCAAATATAAAAATCCAGTTAAACACTTTCTTAATCAAATGGTTTCAAGAGCAAATGCTTGTAAGTTATCAGAAAACTACAAGAATTCAAAATTGAAGAAATGTGCAAAAAGCAATATAATGAATATCAGTTCAATGTTAGCAGCATGACTTTTATATAAAGAAATCTGACCAACCTTCTGATCCCAGAATCAAATGGTGGATATCTGGACCAGCTGATATCCGTGGCACTTGACAATTTTTCTCTAACACACCTTTAGGGGTGACAAATTTCACATGAACAAGCTTGAAAAGAAAAATCAAATATGCACAAAATGTATCACGATTTAAAGGATGCAACATGCAAACTTATAACTTGTGATATCTAAACTAAATTTCAAATACTAAATTTAAGACTGACAGAGTGTACACAACAGAGTTTCTTATACACATAAGTTATAAAATGTAAATGGTATAAAATTATCAAATAGTTTATCAATTTCAAAAATTGTTGGGAATAATATGCCTTACTCTTCCTATTTCATAAAGCTTTATACAGCAACATTTCTAGGCAGTTATTCAAACTCCTGCTAATGTATAAAAAGAGGTGATCTCAAAAGAGAGGAAAAAATATTGCACAATTATCACTGAATTTTTTTTTTTGATTATAACATAGATTAAGAGTGTAAAGTTGCAATCAAGACAAATAAAATAGATCAAGGAAATTATATCCCATGTTGACTTGTGCAAAAATACAACAATTTCTAAAGATCAAAGGTTATCAAGAAATAAATAATTAAAAACAAATAAAATATTTGATTGCATATTACTCAATACAAACCAGATCTTCAATGTTTCCATAAATGTTTTTCTTCATACCAGAAGCTCTCGTGGCAACCCAACCACCTAAAGAACTGAATTCCATCGAATCTGGCTCATGGCCAGTGCAATAACCTTTTTCAGCCAACTGAAAAAGAAAGAATTTTTAAATTTAAAAAAGTGAAAAATGGAGAGTGGAGTTTTTGTTACACTGAAATAGCACCTAAGAGTTTTGAATTGTTTATATATTTTTGTTAACTTTATACAGTTAGTTCTTCAGTCTGTTCAAATCAAAGTATCACTAATTCATCATAGAGTGAGAGATAATCTGAGAATAATCTATGGTTGCTATTTTTAAAAAGAAGAAAAAAGTGTTGCACCCATTTTTGATTACACTGTCCTTCATGTAATTAAAAAAAAACAATCTCATTGGTAGCAAATATAGCTCTAGTGTCAGCCACAAGTATACAAGTAACGTTTCAAATACAAAATTTTCTGGAATATTAGTGCAAGCAAATAAAACCAGAGGATGAAATGCATTAAAACAAAACAGATGCTTACAGAAGCATAAAATTTGGTTTTGCACATATATTAATAGTCATGTGGTGCTCTTATAGGTTACATGTTTGCTACATGAGAACTAAAAGTTAGAGAAGGAACTGGGGATGGGGCAACGTGTTAAGTGAAAAGTTCTCAACCAAACTAAGAAGAGGTTAAACAGAAGCAATTAAGAAAAGAGCTAACATTAAAAAAAAATTACAAAAAGCCCAAGTAATTTTGTTTTATAGGAAATAATACATATTCAATAGTGTAAATGGAAAAAGCTAATTCACCCTTCTCTCAAGATCTTGACCAATGATTCCAGATTCTGCACATACAGTGAGATTTTGATCATCAATCCATAAAATTTTATTCTGGAAAAAAAAAGTTAAAAAAGATAAAATCATTCATTTAATATTTCATCATGCATTACTAATTAAGAGAATATCATTTACAATGTCAGTGGTTAGATATAAAAATAAATCTTTTTTTATTGAGCCTTTGACTTCATATATCTGTTGTAGAACTAGATCTTAAGATAAAAATTATGCATTGATGGAATAACTGTATTTATATATATAATTTTTATATAGAATGTTTAATAACAAATTTACAGAAAGTAAACACTAACTATATAAACATTTTATGATATAAAAATTGAAACATTGTCACAAGAACAAAAAAGGATATTAGTTTAAATAATCTGTGAAATAAATTTGCAATCTTATAAAAATTTTGTTTACATTATAAAAAATGAATTTCAATTTTTTAGTTCTTGTATAGAAAATAGGTTTCGATTATTAAAGTCAGTGTTATAAAAAAAATAAAAATGATCAATAATGTGATTATTTTAACTAACATGATAAATAAATCCATTTAACACTTTCTAACTAAATTTATTCAAACCTTTAATGTATTAACTTAAAATGTTTTATATAAATGATTAGATTTTTATCATGAATGTTTAAGAAATATTATTTGAAATAAATGATCACTGTCTAACAATTTTAATTGCAAAGTTGAATTTACCATCAATGAAGTATCAACAGAAATAATCATTCGTTGCTCAGCAGTAGGACATTCCAAAGCTCCAGAGACACTTGTGCCACCTTTATGAAAAAAAAAAAAAAAAAACAAAAAAAAAAACATTAGAATGCTTTCATGACAAACCCTAATAAATCTATGCAATATGAGATTACATTTTCATGTTTGATAAAATGAACAATTCATCTATGTCTATTATTTCTTTGCTAGCTACATTTTGTAATGAGTAACAAAGAAACTATTATAGAAGATAGAATCTCTTCAACAGAAATCAAAATGAGTGAAAATTTTACACCAGAGAAGACTAAATCAGCAGACAGGCATACACTTCTTAATTTCTTGATCTTTTTTCCAGCCGTTTTATCTTGAAATTAAATAACAATAAGCAGAAAATATGTTTTATATATTATTTTTTTTTATTGTTGATACATATTTTATGCTAACTTGTCTCATACAAGTTCATATAGAACAAGAAAAAAATCTTTACATAATTATGCATCCTAAACTATTTTCTTTTTAATAACAAACACAAGAGTATAAAACAAAAACATTAAAAATATAAATTTAGAAAAATTAAAAATATGACCAAGAGAACTTGATTTATGTTTTCCTTAGAATAAATAAAGCAGTAATCTCTATGGAACAAAGTTCCCTCCCCATGTAACTGATAATTTCATAATTTGATTGCAATGACAAACTAGTTCTAGTGATGAAGTAATAACATTTATTTTTGTCTATAATTTTACTAATAAAGCAATAGTATTTTCAATTACTTTTATTAAGAGCAGTTATAGAATTGTCACAACATTTAGACTTATTTACTGAAAAGTTTGTTTATAATGAAATCTAAAAAGTTTAGACAAAAAAAAGTTTACCTCCAAATGGAATGAGCATAGCATTATATTGACAGGCTAACTCTACAATTTTCACAACATCATTATGACAGGCTGAAAATTAAAATAAAAAATATTGCATATATGAAAGGAAGGAGCAATTTTTTTCTTCTGGCCATTCAATAATGGAAAAATTTCAAACCATATCGAAATATGGTACATGAAGAAAATAATTAAAAACTGGATAATGACTAACTGGACTCATTAAGCATAACCATATATATATATAATTTCTTCTTTTTTTTTTAAAATTATTCTCTTTGATAGGGAAATAGGACCGACACAAATGGTCTTAAAGTAGTTTCTTAAATAGACAAGTAGGAAAAGGTAAAAAAAAAAACTAAAAAAAACCACACACTCACTTGGCCAGACAACAAGATCAGGTATTCTTTCAAATTTTCCTTCTCTCAAGACAAAAACTTCATGGAGCGTATGACCTGTGTATAAAGAAAATTTTAAAATGTTTTTAATTAAGGTTTTCAATAAAAATAAATGAAATACAAACAAAATTTACTTAGAATTTGGTTTTATTAACCAGAACAAACTAATTGAAATGTGGAGAAGAGTAAAAAAAAAAAAAAATAATCATGATAACATACAATCAAAAACAAAATAGGAGAAATGTCTTGGTCTTAAAAAAAAAAAAAACACTTCAACCGTGACCACACTAAGCTGAAGATATCTATGAAAATGGAATATACACCAGTAAACATCCAAGCATTACAAAATCAATTTTGAAGCATAAACAACAATGGATCCAGTAATGAAGAAGTTAAGCTATTAAAAAAACAACAATTAAAGAGTAATAAAGCATGACTTGACATTGAGGCTGAACTTATGTAAATAGCATACCTTCTCTTTGAATTTGAGAAAAAGAGTACCTCAATTTCATGAAATGTCTGAAATCAGAAGTGCATCCTGAAGCAATGGTGTATATCACATATTATGTCACTATGGAAACAAAAAGTCAGTTCACAAGATCCTCAATTGTACAGAGGTATCTCAATTGAATCCATTATGATGAAAGTACTAATGAACATTGTATTAACTAGACTCACCATTCTACAAAAGTTAACTCCTCACAACCCAATTTGACCTTTGCTCTGGTAAGGGATGTAATGAAGGGTCTATATATCTCATTAAATACCTCCAGGTAATTGCATAACTCTTCAATAGAAAATAATATACCTGCCTCGATGACCTCATAGTAGCATATTATCACACAAATAGAGACTTTCTCTTCTCATCCATTAAAAACTGTTTCCCAAGCTCTGACTCCACTGTATGTCTGGATTTGATAGAGGAACTATATCAGCCCACAAAGTCGTACATACATGGCTGGTGAGGAATCCAATGCAGAAACATTTCAAATTTCATCAGGAGTACGGCAAGGAGGAAATGAGAACCCCAATCTATTTAATCTTTACTTAGACTTATATAAGCATAGATGTGAAGAGATGGGCACTGACTATTTAAGTATTCTATACCACACCCCAAATGAATCTAAAACATTCCTGCTTTTCTTCCAGAGGCCAGTGTACAAATGATGGGGATGGGAGGGGTTATGTCAGTGATATAGGTATTCACAATTGAGATAGAAATTATCTTGAACAAGAAATAGGGCTCAAGATAAACCTTTCCAAAACAGAAACTATGATGTGGAATTGGAATGAAATCAGTGATGGACGTACCCTGCATTCATCATGAAAATTCAGGTAAATACTAAATACTTCAAATAACTTGGTACATAGATCAGTTATAACACATTTAGTATTGGAGAAATGGAAATTGAATGTAAAATAGACTGCACCAAGGGTAGTTACCCCCAACAATACAGATAACTACAAAATTAAAACATTAACCTAGGTACCTCCACGAGATCGCTAAAAAAAGAGCATAGCATGATGAAAAAGACGCCAAACTTGACGAAAAAAAAATTTTATCGTCTAAATGTTTGTTATTATTAAGAGGAAAGGTCAAAGTATTTTTTGGGGTATTTTTTTTCCATTTTGTAATCATTCCTAGCATGTCCGAAATTTTCGTTAAAAATCTAGTTTTTTTTTTTGAGTCAGCAAAATTGACCATTTTTTTTTCCATTTTAAAAAAAACTGGAAATCTGACTTTGAAATTTTTTAAATATCAATTATCATTTTTTCAAAACTTATTTTAAGAAAATCAGAAATTATAATGTTTATTTAAAATATTTTGAACCAAACTTAACTTAGCTTTTGTGCCAAAAAGATGTAATTTGAAAATAAAACAAAGCAGGTCATAAACTTTCGCGTCTCTTGACATGTGATGAATGATATATTTACGAATTCCATGAGGCTAATTTGTTCTACGGAAGGAGAAAAGTGAAATAATTTATTTATTTACGTGAACAAATTATTTACCCCGTTATTTTTAACGAAAACTTTCAGCGGTCTAATTTTTTTTTTTTTTACTTAGCTTTCACCTTTTACGTTTATGATGCTTTATGGGAAATATATTCTAAAGAAATTAAAATAAAACTGTTAAGAGTGACATTAAATTTCATATTTCTTAAGAAAGGTATCTAATTAATTTATAGGTACCTTTCTTATGAAATTTTATCAGAATTGTACATAAAATACTATAATTTTATGTACATTTATTACATTCTACTGTTATTTGTATTTGCATTCATTTTATTATTAATTTTGATATTTCATTTATGGAAAAATGTCGTAACTGAGATTAATATAAAATAAGATCATATAAATTTCATAAGATGATACTGATACTTGTAGGTACCCTTCTCAGTTGAAATTGAAAAATCAAATTAACTTCTCCACACGTGTTTCATAAAAGTAAAGGCCTTAACAGCGGAGAACAATGCTTAACTCAAATAACGCAACTTAATTATATTCTGGTTGGTCTTCCGTATTTTATAATTACAGCTCGATTATAAACACAAAATTACATTTCTTAATTATTACTGGGGATCTTCTGATTAGTCAAAATGATACAATTTACAACGCGCTAAAAAATCTATCTCATAAGGACACTTATGAAAGCCGATGTGGCTTTTAACTAATTTTATAATATTTTAACAACTTAAATGTAAAATCTATTATAATTAATGAAATAACAAATAATTGTATTAAAAATTCATTTTTCATCGAAAAAAAATTTTTTTTGCTTTCAGAAAATATTGTCCATATTCATAAAAAAACTAAAAGCAAATAAAAGCATTTGAAATTAAATAATATCTTTGTTTTATTGAGTTTTGTATGTTACAATTCAGAGCTGATTTTCAGGTACTGCGTATCCAATTAAAAACAAAAAAAACATGATTTGCATTCCTCAAAGCCCTGTGCTTTTAATTATTGTAATCACTAAAACCGATGCGATCGAATTTCTAGCGTTTTCATAAAATTAGTTATGGGGGGGGTAATAAATATTTTTAAAAATATTTCTACCATGACTTTCATAAAAAAAACATATTTATAATAATTTCGATCATCTGTGAATAGTTCCTGAAAGTTTCATTAACATCCGATAATTATTTCTATTTTTGCACGATTTTTCAAATTAATGTGTGTCATACCAAAAAAACGTGCTAAAATTGTCTATGTTATTTACTAGTTCCACTGATACAAATAGAAAAAGGTTTTTTTAATCAAAATTTAGAATGTTCTAAAAAGAAGGAAAATTTTTAAAATAATTAAAAAAAACTTTGGTCTTTCCTCTTAATAATAACATAAGCATTTAGACAATAAAATTTAGTTTTCGGCAAGGTTGGCGTCTTTTTCATCAAGCTATGCTCTTTTTTTAGCGATTTCGTGGAGGTACCTACATTAACCTAAAAACTTGAATCATATTCATAGCCTTGTCAGATGGAGACTTTTGTATAGATGTCTTTTATGGGGCAAAATCCATTCAAAAATATCTAAACTGTCAGCTGTATACAATCTGCTTTCTCAGATCAATGATTAAAAATGGCTTTAAGCAAATGGGGCTTGTAGGTCTTAGCAAAGACCACTCTTCTTTGAACCTCATAGAGTGGCACTACAAAATCACAAAGAACTGTACCAAATAACAGAAACTACTTGAGGACTTTTAATAAGTTCAACAACTAAAACAGAAGGCACATGTAACTCAAATGGAAAATAATGATGTAATCAAGACGTTGATATTCCACACTATATGAAACAAAAGTTTAGGAAGAAAATCAAAATCAATAAGGGAAAGAGTGATAAATTAAAAAATTGTTTTACGAGAAAGATTTGTATAAATTTCAAGTGACGGTAGCACTGGCTGCTCAGTTGATGAATGCCTAATGTTTCCTTATAAAGGAAACAGCTTATATTACCATTACCATGCGAGTGAAAACAGTAATTGTTTATGTTGTAGAGTGGTTTCACAGTGGAGGCTTGTATTTGTACTAAGTCGGACCTAAAATAAGTTCGACGTACAAAACGTTAGGAACTTGATATAATAGGTAATGACGCAGAGAAATCTAGTGGTGGTCGCTGATACTCTTAGTATCTGACTAACGGTTGTCCGACATTGACTGAATGACCAACTCACTGAGCCACTCAGCGACTGCTACTATTCCTACTTATTATAGGTGGGAGAGTCTATTAACTATAGAATAGGTGTGTTCCACTATAACATCCCCCACCTAAAACTTTACTCCGTAGGAGTAAACAGTTTTATTTATTTATTTTTCATTTTTTTTTTACAGGAAATATGAAGAAAAAAACAACAAAATTTTTTTTTTTTTTAAGCAACATCATAGTGTATTTCCTACGTTTTTTGATCCACTTTTAAATGATCAGTTGCCTTTCTTTTTTCCTCTGGATCGGCATACCTCAGGTAAAGTTGTTGCAGGCGTTGTTAGATCAAACGTATTGAAAATCACCTCCATCGGCGTTTTTTCCGCGGGACCGCTGCCAACTCCGTCTGAAAAATGTTGTCTGATCTGGTTGCTGCATGTGAATTTTTCGCCTTTCACCAAGTACATCATATTGCCAATCTGCTTTTCTATTTTTTGATACCTCCATAGTGTTACCAGAAACAACCTTCCGCTTTGAGCTTCTTAAGGATGGAGTCACAGTTTCTGTAGGTTCTTCTTGTGATTCTATTTGTTCCGCCTCTAGCTTCCCTTTTGTTGATCTTGTGCTTCTTAACGTTTTCTGTGGTGACTTCAGTTGACTTAAATCATTTAATAATACTGCATGTCCTTGGATGTGGGTAACTCGCTCCCCAGTTTTTCTCAGTGTCGGCTTCATTTTTACTTTCTGAAGCTTTTTTTCACATATATCATCGGTGTTACCCACTGAACTTTTTTAAATACACTGGTTTTCTCTAATCTGTCCAATTCTTTATCTATCTGTTCAATTGAAGCAAACAGCACATTCCTTTTCTTTTTGAATACTGCCTGAACGTTTTCTTTTGGTTGGAATTTTGCCTCCATCTTGGTACATGTTCCCAAACCTGGAGGAAATGTTTCCTTAAGTTTCCTTACTAATTTTTGAGCTTCTGAGTTTAAACTTTCAACCTTGTAACAGAAGGAATTTATCAGTCGATTCCATAATTGAAATTCTGTTATCCAATTCGTACCAAGTAAGTTCGTGGTATTTTATATGACAAATAGTTTAGCTTTTCACATTTTTTCATTTAACGTGACGTTTGTAACAAATTCTCCAATAAATTGTATTTTTTCTCCCGTCACTGACCTCGCGATTTTATTTGTCTTCATTAAAGTTGGTTTCCCCAACTTCTTCCACGTATGCAAATTTATGATAGATAGGTCGAACCAGTGTAGAGTTGCATTTTTATTTTTTATTACTTATTTCGACAGTAACAAATTTTCTGGTTATTCCATTGTTCACCTCATCGGACTTTAATTTTCTTATTTTATTGTCTTTATTTTTTTATTTTTGCAATATAAGAAGCTTTATGACCCACTCTTTTATAGTTGAAACATTTTTTATTCCTAAAATTGCACTATCTGTACCAGTGAAATTCACCGCAAGGAAAACATGGCTTCGGGAGTTTTTGTTTATGTTTCTCTGGTATTTCACTTTTTGTTTGATAATCCACAATTTTAGAATTCTTTTTGGTAGACAGACTTTCTTTTTTGTAGCGTATTTTCCTTACATGCGAAATGCCAGACTGTTCTATCTTTTTCAAATCATTCTTTACACTAACATATCTTGTGCAGTCTTCTGCCAACTTCTGTATCAAAATTCTTGGTTTGTTTTCCAATTTTGACAGCACTAATTTTCTCAACTCTGCGTCTCTTTCCGATACCAGCCCTTGAACACATAAAATTGTCAGCGCTTAACTCTGCTAGCCTGAATTCTTCACAATGCTTATTCACATTGGCTGCGTACGTTATATAGTCTTGTTAGTCATCTTTCATCAGATTCAAACATTTCCACCTCTTGTGAAACAACGATGTCTTTTTACTAAATAATTCACTTAATATATTTACCGCCTCGGTAAATGTCAACTTGCTAGTTTTTTTTCGGTAAAATGTAGTTTACCAATTTGTTATGCTCAGCAGTTCCTAACTTGCTTAAAAGAAGTCTAACCTTCTTTCCTTCAGACCACGAGTGGCAGTCCTCGTTATACACGTCCGTATATTTTTTTATAATACTCTTCAAAAGTTATCTTTCTTCATCTGGACTGTAAATGAATATTTCAATTGAATTCCATATTGTATTCTCTGGGAAAGAATCATTTTGTAGATTTTTTCTTTCTTCTTCTCAGTTATTTCCAGAATTTTGTTTTGAAAATCCTTATGCATCTGTTCCATTTCTCATTGAAACTGCATCTGTCTATTAAAAGTTTCCTCCTGTAGTTGCATCTGGAATGTTTTCTGTTGCTCTAATATTGTCATCTGTTGTTCCGTCTGGAACTTAAAAAATTCCTGGAACATATTTTTGCATTCCTCCATCTTCGCAAAAAGTTTACACAATGCTTAAATATTGTAGAGGGGAGTCCTACGAATTTGCAATTCGTGACCTATTTGAGCAAACTGTCTTATCGAGAAAAAAAAATTCTTTTCTCAGTTGAGAATACGACTGACTTTTTTTTTGTCACTAAGTTGACGTCTTGTCTTTTGAAAAACTTTGCCAAGTTTTTTTTTTTTTTTTTAAAGTATGAATCTGAGATTTTGTTGCCGAAATTGTGACGAGCAAGTTTTTTTCTTTTTCCTCCATATGAGTACGAATACTCGTGGGCAAATTTGTAATGGCGGGTGAAAAATTTTTTTTTTTTTTTCTTCCACCATATGAATTTCGAATCCCTTCGCTGAATAATGCTGTGGCGAATGCAATTTTTTTTTTCCTTCCTCCGAATATGAGTTTGAATAAATTTTTTTTTTCCGAAAAATTTGTTATGGCGGGTGAAATTTTTTTTTTTTCTTCCACCATATGAGTTTGAATCCTCGTGGACAAGTGTGTTATGGAGTACAAATGTTTTTCTTCCTCTGTATGAGTTCGAATCGTTGTTGCCAAGTGTTGTAGAGTGGTTTCACAGTGGAGGCTTGTATTTGTACTAAGTCGGTCCTAAAATAGGTTCGACATACAAAACATTAGGAACTTGATATAATAGGTAATGACGCAGAGAAATCTAGTGGTGGTCGCTGATACTCTTAGTATCCGACTAACAGTCGTCCAACATCAACTGACTGACCAACTCACTGAGCCACTCAGCAACTGCTACTACTCCTACTTATTATAGGTGGGAGAGTCTATTAACTATAGAATAGGTGTGTTCCACTATAACAGTTTATTACCATATCTTGCAATTAAAAAAAAGATTGTAACTTTAAATATTGTAAGTAATTGTAAGTTCAGTACTATCTGTGTATGGGGGGATGTGCACAAGTTAAAATGTGGATTTTAAACTATAAAGAATTACTAGAATTAAAGAATTAGGAATATAAGGATTGACCAAAAATATTAATCCCAGGTATGTGCGCTAAATAAACAGTAAATTCTGTCTGTTGTCCATGTGTCTGAAACCCCACTAAATTGGGCTACACTTGCTCTACATAGACATATTATACCTTTTTGGAATCAGGATGATCCTGGGATTGAAAATCTACTCTTATTGTGGTGCTTGAACATCCAACATTGGGATTTGTGTCTGAATTAGGGGAGAATAGTTAAAAATTCAAATTTTAAAATAACTGAAAAAAATTAATGATTTTAAAAGTTTTTATGTTGAGTTTAAAGTAACACAAGAATTTTGTGAATTTAAAATTTTTCGTTTTAAATTCAGTTTAAAATATTTTGAAAACTTTGTGAATTGAGGAAATCAATTTTATTTCTTTAAAATGCCAAAGAATCAGAGTTAAAGTGAGAAGTTCCGTGATGTGAGGTTTTGAAGTTCCACAGAGTGTGTGATTTGAAGAACTTAATTGGTGGCCTGAATCGGAATTTCAGCCAAAATCTGGAGTTTCAACCCAAATTGGTCTTTTGGCTGTAATTGAACTTATAGCCCAAATCAGAGTTAAAGTGCAGTTTTGAAGTTCCATGGAATGAATTGAGGAATTAAAAATTATTTCTTCAAAATTATCATTGCTGTTTTCTAAGCTGGACCAGAGGTCTCTTTAGTTTTGGGCCAGAGGCCAAATTATACCTCTGCAGGAGCTAGTTAAAAAGTCCACACACAGTGCAGATTTTAAGCTAGTAATCAATAAATTAAAAACAAAATTATTGTTTCTGGCAATAATACTCAAAACTGCATTAGTCTCCAGATTTTCCTTTATTCATTTACCATTTGAAGTCATTAGTTCTATAGATTAGGTAATAGTATGAAATTTTAAAAAGATGATATAATGATTAATTACATGGGGATGAAAAATCATGAAAAACAATTCTGGCTTTTGCCATTTTTGGTCATCCATACAAATGAACAAAAAATGCAGTGTTTAATATTTTTTGCAAATTTAATTAAAAAAAATTCTTGTATTTTCAAATATTGAAGTTGCCTACTATCTGTGCGTGTTGGGGGGGGTCTGTGTGCATAAATCAAATTGTAGATTTTAAACCTTAAAGAATTACTTGTTCATTACAATTTATAGAAATTGAAAGAACTGAGATCAAGCTTCTTACCATGAGCTCGGAACAGTCGATCTTGACAATCATCTGAATAACTAATACCTGTCCTTCGTAAGTTGCTGATAAATTCTTTGTTTTTGATTGGTGGGGGAATGTCAGCTGCAGTTATTTCTGGCTAAAAAGAAAAGAATAAGAAAAAAACAAAGACAGTAGTAACCTATTAAACATGAGACATTAATATAAGGTCATTTAGAACAATCTGAAGTGTGATGGCAAGAAATCCATAGTAGGTAAATTGATGTGTTTTCATTCGATTCAGACTAGCATTCTTTCTTCAGAATATAGTTTCAAAGTCATCTACCATGTGTAAATAGATTGTGTTGTATCACAGAAAAATGAACAAATATAAAATCACAAAGCAATAAATGAAACAAGACTAGTTTATATTTAAACTCATTAGAAAATGGCCATTTTTAATATGAGCAAAATTATCTTGTACAGCAATTTCCGGGATTTTTAAATTACAATTATTTGGATCCTAGTTAATCTATCACATCATGCAGTCCTTCTGTATAAATTACAGGTGCTAAACAAATTATGATTTACTAAATTCTTCAAAAATGACTGATTTAGAAAATGAAAGAACATCAAATTATGGAGATATTTTACTAGATACCAAAGAAACAAGCATATCAAGAATTCCAATGCCTTATAAAGCTAAAAACTGGTGAGAGGCAAAAGGAAATTTATAAACTAGCAATTCAAAAACCTTACTCCTAACACAAATTTGTTAGTGATAAACAATGAGCCCATAACAGGATTCAAATTCATATTTTGTAAAAGAACAATTTCTCAAAAGTCACTTGATTACATTCACCTTGGGTTGGTTTACAATGGGGGAGCCCAAGCAAGTACACCTGGGCTAAAGCCAAAAATTGCCCGTTCTCAAAACCAATGTTGTGCTGGCATCAATATTCCACCAACCCTTCTTCTTTAGTGCAATGAGGGAGGTACTGCTGCAGGATTGGAATCCACGCGACTAAGTATCCCTCATTTAATTATTTGCACACTATAAGACAAAGACACAATTTGAGAAATTATCATTTTTACCAACCCCAAAAGGGTGATTTACTACTTTTTATATAGAAAAATCATCAGTATTTAAAGTAGCATCCATCATGTCAAGTTTTTCCATTCATGGAACAATTAAATTGATTAGCATGTTCTCTACAGCAGTCAATTCATTTGGTGATGGTAATGCTTGTACTGTGATTGGCTAGTAGTGAAGCCAATTTACATCTTCACTGACCTCATTTCATACACTGACATATCCCCCCCACTACATACACACACAAAAAACAACATGCAACAAAGACTAAAGTGTTTTGGCTTTCAAGATACATGGCCATTTTCTCCAGTACAATTTTGATAATAAAAATGGAGTCTATAATTGGTTTAGTAGCATTTAAATGTTATTTCTTTGTTTCAACAGCTTTCTCAATATATACAATTGCTTTTTTTAATTCATAATAATTTGCATAGAAAAATTTTTCTTCTAAATACCAAATCAAAGTTTTGCTTTTAACTTACATTTTCAAGTTTTGTTCATTCTTACCTGAGCTGTTATTTTGTGTTCCAAACTAATGCCACAAGTTTTCATCATAAAATCTTTCAGGTGTGGTAACACCTGTTTACTGAGCCGGTAGCTGGATAATAAACAAATATTTCAAAAATTAATCAATGAAAGCAGTTGACTTATTCTGTTGTGTACAGCTTCCTACAGAAGACTACAAACTGCCTGTATTTTAAGAATACCTTTCGTAATAAAATAATTATTCTTACTTGTGAAGAAATCTTTAAAAATTTCCATTATGTAATTGATGTAAATAAACATTTTTTTTCTCTTTGCAAAAACAAGGAAAAACGTTTATGATCATTGAAGACAACCGCTTATGAATAAACTAGATGAAGCAACAGGCTGTTTGTTTCCCAAAACACACGGTAAGAATGTATTACCTTTTGGTTAAAAACTATTAAACTGGATTAGTGTACAAACTAGAATTATTTCTCTATATTTTTTTTGCTTTAATGATACTTACTACCTGGTAAAACCGACTTTTTTCCATTAAGAGAGGAGAGAGGCATATTACCTGGATCAGTAATGGGCTTGTTTGCACAATAATTTTTTGATAAAATATAGCAGAAATTGGAAAAATGACTTTGGAATATTGTTCTCATTTATCAGTATATTCTATTAATAGTTTTTGTTGGAAACTATTTGCATTTTAAGATTTTGATTACATCAATACACAAAATATGGCATAAAGGTAAACAAAAAAATAAGAATAAAAAAGGGATAAAATAATAGAATATTGAAACATTTTGATGAGATTAATTAAAAATGAAAGTGATACGAAATAATGAGTTCTGAATAAATAAAGAATGACAGTAGTGTGTTCAAAATGTGCATTACAGCAATAATTGAAAACTACAGAAATAATCTTAAGGGTGAAAAAGTATGCATAAACATGCTATCATAATGATAGCATGTTAAAAATGTTAAAATGTTGAATGCATAATATAAACACACTAATGCAAAAAACAGTATTTCTTTTGACAATGAAAGAAAAAATAAAAATTGTACTTTTTTTAAGCCTACAAAGTTATTATAGTAGTTATTTATAGTTTTTGTTTTGACCATAGGAGGAGGCACCCAGTGAGTAATGGTCTGCAACACATGTTTGCTAATAATTAAACCATAAGGCACCTCCATCTTTGATTACAGTAGCAGAATGTTGTGAATGAATGTACATATTATTTTAGGAAATTAAGACAAGGTTATCCTTGTAGACTTGTTTTTCAGTGGTTAGCATGTTAAATTATGAAACCCATTGAGAAAGAATTTGTTTCTTACCAATTTCTTCAGTGTTAATAAAATGCAACAATTATTTGATGGTATTGTGATGCTTACCAAACCTTACTATCCTTACAACTTTTTAAAAACAGTTGAAAAAACAATCAGTATTCTTTCTTGCATTATCATTATTGCAATTCCATAACATATTTAAAAATTCAAATTTAACAGATCTGTTTGGAACAACTAACCGTTCTCCTGTGAACTCAACCTGACCAGCTTTATTGACAATGAATTTGGAATCCTTATATCCCCAGCCATTCCACTTGAGAAGTTCTTGTCTGTATAAAAATAAGAAAGACAAAATTGAAATGTAGAAAATAATTAAATATGCCAATTTAAATTTTAGTTACATCTAATCAACAAAAATTTGACGTGTTTTGGGTGAAATGATAAAAAAATTCAATTAGTGGAGCAATTATCATTTAACTGATCCAGCTTTGCTAGATATTTTAGTATGCCATGTGTTAAAGTACCCAGCACTCTTTTTTGAAAACAAAAAGAAAACTTTTGAACACACCCAGTAATTGGGAGTTCTGTAACTTGTGATTCCTTGTATCCTAACAAGATTTCCTGATTTGTCCAGATCTGAAAGATTTGTGTATAAAATATAATTTTATCACTTTCCAATACCTCAAAAATAGTAGCTGTTTTTTTAAAATGAACAAATACTATATATGTTATATAGATAATAAATACCTACATTTTGTATATTATATAAAAATGATCAAAAATAGTCTTATGTTTTTTTTTTATTTACTTCATATTTGAGATTACATAAAAGAATTTAGGAAATCACAAAACTCTTGACTACTCCTGATGCTTTTGTTATTTGACTGATATTGAATAGTATGCTTTTGAACAGGGCTAAATTTAATATTCAGCAGATGTTAATGACATCGCTGCAAGAATCATCAATCCTTTGATCGTGGCACATGATAAAAGATTTTCATTGCCTCTTCCCCAACCACATGGGCCTGTGTCTTACTTCAGTCAGATGACACCTAAGAGGGTACGTGCAAAGCTGCAAACCCCATTCCACTTTGTTCTATTAGTGTGTTAATAAGAGAGCACATAAGAAAGATGAAGACTATAAAATAACAATGATGATGAAAATGAGCACAAACAAGTAAATCTTCTCTATGGCCACAGGATGATATAAATGATAATAATCACTAAAAATAGTAACAGTATTAACGAAAAAGAAAAGTAAAAGATTACAAATAAAAACAAAAAAAATCTTAATATACGATTAATAATTACACACACACATATATATATATATATATATATATATATATATATATATATATATATATATATATATATATATATATATATATATAGGACCCCAATTTTCCATTTCAAATTTTCCTTGATTCCATTTCCACTTTTGGTAAATTTCATTTTTTCAATTTTTATAGTATGAGAAAATTGCAATACAATATGCTATAATTATTATTAAAACTGAAAACAAAAACATAATTTAAAGTTTTAGTGCATATAAAGAAATAGCAAATATCTACAAATCTATTTTTTAAATGTTAAAATTCAAATACAAAAATAAATATGTAAAAATAAAAAATAAAACATGACTAGACAATAAAACAATGGAATGTTACAGTGCATAATAATCTTTGTGGTAAAACTTTTAAATAGAACTCCCTTCTTTAAAAACACATTCAAATTGTTTTTGTTTTAAGTATTTAGATTTATAATTATGGATTTGTAATATAAAAATCAGATTTAAAGTATAAACTGCAAATAATTTGAATCTCAATAATAAATATCTGAATAAAGTTAAACATTTTGACTAAAATTTTACAAAACATTAATTAAACCATAGTAACTGAATCTTTGTAACAAAATATCAAAAAACAAATTAGACATTAATTCAAAATTTAAATAAAAAAACTTATCCCAAGTTATGCTCAAATTTAAAATTGCTAATTTTGTAATTTGGGAAATATTTAATCTTCAAATCTCTTCTCTAAATCTCCATTGTAATACAACCTTGTGAGTTGCTTGGTGTTCTCAGGGGCAAGACTTTCATGTTGTTTATTGAGTAAATGTTTATACTGAGAAAATGAACATTCAGCATCTATGCTGGTAACAGGCATCCATATGACCTTATTGGCAATCTGTTCCAAAAGAGGAAATCTGCTCTTATTTGCATTCCAAAATGATGGGATATTAAAAGGTTTTGGTAAATCATCTTGGTAATTCACATACATTTGGAATTCTTCAAGTAGGACATGACAAATTCTCGATGACTGCAAAACTGTCTAAATCATGGCCTATACAGGGTAGGCCATCTTGAATCAAACAGGCGAACTGCCTCGTATAAGTTATATACAACGTGGGTATTCAGGTCTTTATTCAGTTTTGAAAAAGATGTGCTGAAAACAATCAGTTTCTAGGCCAAATGTTGAGTTTGATGTACCAGTATGCAAATACTATTTTACATCTTCCATCATGTTATATACAACACATACAAGTGGAGACTTAGTTTCTTCTAAGTTTGTCAAAGCTGTTATTAAAGCAGTTCTCATTCATAAAATGCAGATTTAGGTGTAAATTATGGCAATAGGTATGATGTAGTCGACCATCATCTACAAATTCTAGAATCCTATCTACTGCAAGGCCATGGCTCTTTTCTTGCTTAAAGAATCCTTCATAAAACTGTACAAAGGATAAGTGATATTTGACTGCATTAAAACAGGAATTTCATCTGGTTGCCACTGTTACAAGGAGTAGTTTCACTTGTTCCTTAGGCAAGGAACCTTCAAGCCATTTTAAGTATCACTTTTTCTACCAAGGATTTTAAAAAAGGCTGGCTTGATGAAAGTAGTGAGCTGGGTAACATTATTAAATGCTGACCAGTGTGAAAATACTTCAACAAGATTTAAAATATGTGCTAAGCACAACACATGGCAACTGTTAAAGAAATTTGACAACATTTCCTTATTAGATTTCTTTTTGCAATAGGCTGCAAAATCTGTTACAATGGCAATAATATCCTCAAAGGCAATATCCACATGAGTTACAGCTCAGATTCATGCCTGACTTACAGTTTGAGGATTACATTCTCCCAAGGTTACAACATCAATGAGAAATGACTCCCCACAAATGCATTCAAAATGCTGTGGTCATGATAGTTGTTTCATCTGTTATGATGCTGATTGATTGATTAGCAAGCTTGGCTTTCAGGGTAGAAAAGTGACAAGCAAACAATTTTGGTAGATGAAGCTGCCTAATACAATCGACACTTGGAATAGCACCACCTTCTTTACAATATTTTAATATGAATGGCCTCATTTTGCTAATTTTGTGTAGGGGAGTGTCAAAGTGCACATTTTCAAAAAATCAAGGCCAAAATCATCTCGTACCTCTTTATTCTTCAACAAAGTTGTGATTGTCTTCTGTTTCAGTTGAGCCGACTTTTTTTGTCAAATGAGTTTTTGATTAGAATGTCATCTTTGATTGTGTCAGCCCTAAATATGTCAACATTATGGAGACAGAATTTGCAAAATAACATTTTCTTCTGCATAAAAGTTATCAGGAAATTGCTCTACTCTGGCCTTAGCAGAAATACTGGGTCGTTTTATAAAATGGTGTTTTTAGAGAATTTTTGTTTACATTATTTCTAAATTGTATGGAAGGCTTATGATAGCATTTACTTTTCTTTCATATTCATAAAACAAGTTATTTAGAATCTTTTACTTGTAAACTGTGTGAGGCCTTAAAGTAAATGAATTTGTTAAACGTATTGGTTTGATCTATGTCTCCTCCCCCACATCCAATTTCAACAGCAACTAATGTGTCTTCCATTTCCACTTTAGCAATGGATCTCAGTGGCCACGACTGAGCCATGACCTTCTGACTCAGAAAATCGACAACCTACTTTTCTTTTTTTTTTATATAAACATTTTTGTTCTTAATTATTTTTCAGGTTTTATAAGGAAAAAACTACAAATATTTGTAAAAACAAATTTTAAGAAAATAACTATGTTATGTTATTGTTATTGAAATGCTTAACAAAATCAGAGAGACAATTATTAAGTTTTGAAAGAATTAAAAAAAAAATTTGAAAAACATATCAAACAATTAATTAGTTATTTATTTATTATTGAAAATTACATTAAAAACCCAGATTCCATTTAAGATTAATGATTCTGCGATTCTGTAATCACAGAAAATTTGTTCCCTTATATATTATTATTACATGCCACCCTCTTTTATTGTTATGGTAGTAGTGAGTGGCACAGTATAAAAATCACAAATTCTTTTCCCAATGGTCCTTTTCTGATTGATCAAACACAGCCAAGCTAAATGGAATCAATTAATGAACAAACATGGTAAATGACAAACAACAGAATGTAAAGATACAGGAATAACAAAACCATTTTATTACTAAAATATACGAATGAGGATTAAATATGTTGGGGTATAATAAAAGATGAAAGACGGGGGTAAAACAAAACGACGAGAAAAAACAAATATTACGGGACAAAACAATGGGGGGGAGTCACAGAGTGTCAGATCAGGGGATTGTCGTTACCATGCCAACGGTCCACCACAAGCAATCCAATGATTTGGGAAACTTTGATTGAGACAAGTGCTAACAGTATGGGCAAAATGAAGTGGTGCACCATCCTAATGGAAATGCCCTACTTGTCTGATTTGTAGGGGAATGTTATCAATGGCAAACTCTTGCAGCATTTGTAAGTAAGCATTTGCAGTCAATGTTAGAGATGTAAAGAAATATGGTCAAATTGCACCTTGTGAATTCTGGTTATTGGGTATGATAAAGGATCATGTGTATAGCAGAAAAGTTTAAGTCATCAAAGAACTCAAGGACAGAATAAACAATAAAATATCACACATTCCCCGTGAAATGTGTGTCAAGGCACTTAATTGTACTGTTGATTGCTGGTTTTTGTGCATCAATCATGATGGTGGACAGGTGGAAACTGTTCAGTAAACTCTGAATGATTCCTCTCAGATTAGTGTTAACATAATTTTTACTCACTATATAGTTAGGTAAATGAAATAACTAGATATTAGCAACCATGTGCTGGCATGCATACGCTGGTAAGCAAATAAATAATTACCAAATTTAGCCAAGAGGTGTAGACATAATAGTCCTCAATGTGATTAGACAGAACTAAGAAATATATATTAACAAATAGACATATACCTACATTTGGTGTGTGACTTAAGTTTTGTTGGTTACCCAACTCAATCGGGCACTAGACATAGCTTATTGTTTATTTAAAAA